AATAAAATTATAAATTTCTACTGGATACAACAGCATAAATACCCAAGCATAATTATAGCATAACGTTTTAATAAATAGAAGTTTGCCAAAGTTGTAACTCTGAGGCTCAGTTGAAGGCATAAGATAAGTCAGTTAGCTAAACTCAATCTTGCCAGCCTTGATCGCTTTCGCTTTGTGGATTATTGGCCACAATGATTGACACTGATTAACTACCAGCTTATGTGAGATAAGGATTTCCTTTTTTTATGCCAATCGATAGAACTGATCCTTACGAGTCAAAAATGGTATGAAATTCCAAAATCGGACATTGTTTGACGGAAATATTCCAAGAAAAAACATCAAAAAGGTTGACCTTACGAAGGAATGCGTTTTTTGTCTACAAGATTTTTGAACCCATCGATGATAAATTTGTTTGAATGCCAATTGATGGTAGGGATCCGTACGCATTCAAAAAGGTATAACATTTTAAAATCGGACATTATATTATTATATTATTATATTATTAAAAAAAAATCATCGAAAAAGTTTCGATTTTCGCACCGACCTCGATTTTGAAAGAAATCGTAATGATTTGGAAGGCCGCGCGGAGTTCTGTCATTTTGGAACGTCATATCTCCGCGCGGAGATATGTCGTTTTGGAACGTCATATCTCCGCGCGGGGATATGTCGTTTTGGAACGTCATATCTCCGCGCGGAGGTCTGTCGTTTTGGAACGTCATATCTCCTCGCAGAGCTATTAGCCGAGATATTAAAAAAATCATCGGAAAAGATTCGATTTTCGCACCGACCTCTATTTTGAAAACAAGCGTGATGTAACCCCTTGCCATTTTGTCGATTTGGGTCCAAATTTTGGATTTCTTTTTTTTGATGCCAATCGATAGAACTGATCCTTACGAGTCAAAAATGGTGTGAAATTCTAAAATCGGACATTATTTGACGGAAATATTTCAAAAAATCATCAAAAAGGTTGAATTTACGAACGAATCGGTTTTTTGTCAACAACATTTTTCAACCCATCGATGGTTAATTTGTTTGAATGCCAATTGATGGTAGGGATCCGTACGCATTCAAAAAGGTATAACATTTTAAAATCGGACATTATTTACCCGAGATATTAAAAAAAAATCATCGAAAAAGTTTCGATTTTCGCACCGACCTCGATTTTGAAAAAAATTGTGATGATTTGGAAGGCCACGCGGAGTTCTGTCGTTTAGGAACGTCATATCTCCGCGCGGAGTTCTGTCGTTTTGGAACGTCATATTTCCGCGCGGAGATATGTCGTTTTGGAACGTCATATCTCCGCGCAGAGCTATTAGCCGAGATATTACAAAATCATCGGAAAAGATTCGATTATCGCACCGACCTCTATTTTGAAAACAAGCGTGATGTAACCCCTTGCCATTTTGTCGATTTGGGTCCAAATTTTGGATTTCTTTTTTTTTGATGCCAATCGATAGAACTGATCCTTACGAGTCAAAAATGGTATGAAATTCCAAAATCGGACATTGTTTGACGGAAATATTCCAAGAAAAAACATCAAAAAGGTTGACCTTACGAAGGAATGCGTTTTTTGTCTACAAGATTTTTGAACCCATCGATGATAAATTTGTTTGAATGCCAATTGATGGTAGGGATCCGTACGCATTCAAAAAGGTATAACATTTTAAAATCGGACATTATTTACCCAAGATATTAAAAAAAAAAATCTTCGAAAAAGTTTCGATTTTCGCACCGACCTCGATTTTGAAAGAAATCGTGATGATTTGGAAGGCCGCGCGGAGTTCTGTCGTTTTGGAACGTCATATCTCCGCGCGGAGATATGTCGTTTTGGAACGTCATATCTCCGCGCGGAGTTCTGTCGTTTTGGAACGTCATATTTCCGCGCGGAGATATGTCGTTTTGGAACGTCATATCTCCGCGCGGAGCTATTATAGCCGAGATATTAGAAAAAAATCATCGGAAAAGATTCGATTTTCGCACCGACCTCTATTTTGAAAACAAGCGTGATGTAACCCCTTGCCATTTTGTCGATTTGGGTCCAAATTTTGGATTTCTTTTTTTTTATGCCAATCGATAGAACTGATCCTTACGAGTCAAAAATTGTATGAAATTCCAAAATCGGACATTATTTAACGGAAATATTCCAAGAAAAAACATCAAAAAGGTTGACTTTACGAACGAATCCGTTTTTTGTCTAAAACATTTTTGAACCAATCGATGATTAATTTGTTTGAATGCCAATTGTCGTACGCATTCAAAAAGGTATAACATTTTAAAATCGGACATTATTTACCCGAGATATTAAAAAAAATCATCGAAAAAGTTTCGATTTTCGCATCGACCTCGATTTTGAAAAAAATCGTGATGATTTGGAAGGCCGCGCGGAGTTCTGTCATTTTGGAACGTCATATCTCCGCGCGGAGATATGTCGTTTTGGAACGTCATATATGAGATACTGTAGCTCTAATTAAATGCCAATATGTCATTTACTTTTGCATACGTATGTATTTAAAGAACAAACAGTGCAAGATAAGCTGCATTAAATCTCCTAAGTAAAATCTCCAAAAGGGCTTTTTATGCTTTCCGCACATCTATGAGTAATTCTTAATAAACAGGTAATAAACAGGTCAATTCAGGACAGTTTCGAAATATTAAAAATAAAACAGAGTAAGCATTGGTAAGAGAATGCATAATAATTAATAAATGATTCACATTTTTCATTCAATTATTGAGATTTAATTATGTAAAGCGCATGCATTGCCTTATGAAAGAAAAACATTATATACTATATACGAGATAATTCTTAGTTATTAGACAATGATATAATCGGGTCATGCTCTTGCCTTTAGCTTAGTTGCATGAACCTTGCTACAGAATCTATATAATTCCTAGATGTTTATTTTGTTTGTCGCTGTTGCTGCTGCTTAAATGCTTTTAATCAATCGCTCAAATTTCACAATCACAATCCGTCAGTCAAGTGCGAAATGCAAAAGCGCCAGCGCGTGCTTATCGGCGATCAATTAATATTTAATTAATCAGGCGAGGGCCTGTGGAGGGAACGCTTCGGCCAGCGCACATGGCGTATGCGTACTCTTGTTTACCCGGACTATTGCCGTCAATCATTCGCAACTACTACTTACTTATATGGAGGTTAAGCACAGGCATCAGCACCACAATGATCATCATTCAGATCGTCATTAGCAGATGTAGCAGTAGGGAATTGAGTGATTATCAAATTGTAATTTTTATTTCTATGCTATTTGTCGAGTGTCAGACGGGTTCAAGAACAGACTCGGCTAGCAACCTGCTATAGATTTATTTATTTATTTATTTCTTGTTGACAATGTGTGAGCGTTAATTGTTGTTGTGGTTGTTGTTGTTTTTACTTCTGTTCTTATCGCACTGAATTAAACCCCAATTAATTTAATTACAAATGGAAATAACGCGCCGTTCGAAGCATCGTTCAACTCGAAGCTTGTCAAAATTTTGTTATTTTGATTTATTTTATTTTGCCATTCGTTACCAGATGCAGGCCAACGAATGCATACATATACGTACGTAAATATGTATGTATATGTTTACGTATTTGTTTGTGTAGTCGCATGAGCTCAATAAATAAATTTCAATATTATTTGCCATTTTGGCGCTGATAAGCAAAATGCGTTCATATTTTTTACAGTAATTCCATTTAATAAGACTGTCATTAATTTTAAATTTTAACAAAGTGGGCATTTCCGACTATAATAGACTATTGAAACTAAAATTCGTAACATCATAAGGAGTCAGCTCTTGGCAAACTAGAATTTTATTCAACACTAAAGTCAACATTATTAAGGAATTTAAACAAGCTTTGATGACATTTTATTAGCTCTGCAGATGAAATACATTATTATATTGTAAACACATTAATTACATGCATGTGAATATATGTTCGCATTGATAAATGCATTGCCATATGAATGCAAATTTCTACAGCAGCCATGTATTTTATCTTAAATGTCAAATCGATTGTCTCTGCAATTAATTACGCGTATATAATTACAGTGCGGCCCACGCCGACGCCGACGCTGACGCCAATGCTGTGGCGCCCTCGTCTCTTTATTAATTAGCCCTGATGCGCCTGCAGGTAGCCACAGGTGGTGCTGCATGCAAAACGCGCCGCAGCGGAAAGTGCAACGCGTTAATCAAAACGTAATCAAATCATTTGGCAAGGGTCGAGCAAGCGAAGCCAAACCGTTCCAACAACAACAAACATTATAATCACAGCCTGGTCACATTGGTCGCCCGCTGGGCGTTGTCGGGCCCGGCAATTAAGCTTTATATCTGGCCTAATGGACCAAGCGCCGCCTGCGCTGATTGCGCGCATTTGTTTAGCTTCGTCGACGCTCGCTCGCTCTGCACCCAATCAAACATGAAGCTGTTCCACCCGGTCGCTGCGTCTCCCTATACTAAGACGGCGGCACAGCATGCCACTAACGCCCCACCGTGAGGCGGCGCATTTACAATGATAATATTTGTGTCCAAAGTTATCAATGAGTGCGCCGCGTTCAGCGGACGGGATATTGAATGAGTCTGCTATTGGAGATTGAAGTAGGTGAGTGACAGAGATTTTATGAGAACTTTATTTTTCAATGATACTTTCAATAGCTTTGTCTGATATTTATAAAATTTTCAAGTCTTAAATATGACACCCAAATGTTTTTATACGTACGAAAATGTTTTTTGTCGTGTCTAAGTCGATCTACTTTTAATCAGCGTATATTATACAAGAATCTACATAAAATGCATTTCAAAGCATTCGATATTTGATTCTCTGCTCGCAGTCACATGAATATTAAATATTAAGTAGCTTATTAATGAACAACAAGGATCTAAGTTTCTCGACTCTCAAGCAACTAACTAACAAACGGGTAAGTAACGCCTTCGTAACGAGGAAACCACTTTGTCAGCCAAAGTATTTTTAATTAACGCCACAAAACTTGCCGTCCCTAGTCCGCACATGCAAATGTGCTCATTATGAGCTGATTATGTAATGCATTGATCATTTCAACTGCGTCCCCAGGCAAAAAAATACATAGACATAGGCACATAAATATGCTACACACAGGCTAAAAGCAACGCAACTGCAACGTCCACAGCAAGTTCGACACACGAAAATTGCTCATAAAATACTAAATGGAAACTAAAATACAACGGAAAATTCATTCATAAACGTAAGCGAATTGGAAATCCGTTTTTTTAACCTGCTTCGGCGGAGTGATAAACTTAAGAGTACTTTGGCCCGCTCATTATAGACATTGTATTTATCTTTGGATGTCTGCTGGGGCAGGCAAAGGCACTCAAGACTCTGGCAGACGGCATGGCGGAGCACTTGTATGGGAAATATTCACAATTACCGCGAATAAATTGGGGTAATTAGGTAATAAAAATAATGTTTTCACCTCATTATGGCAGACAGGCATCTGCGTCCAGCAGCTGTAAGTGAATTGGGCTGCCATTTTTCCAAGAAGCCAACCAACCACCTGCCGTACATCGCCATCGGAGCTCAGCTCCACACCGAAGTGGGGCACATACACATACTCATTGCCGCAGTTCTCTTGCAGCTAGATCAATATGCAAACTCATTTAGACGGCATTAAAATGCTTTTTCTGGAAAAGTGTTCGCATACCCTGCACACATATATGGGGTATACTTTTTGTGTAGGCAAGCCGGGTACTTTAACTAATGAACTCTTGCGTTTTTTTTAATTCGTCAGTAATTCTATGGGCGTATACCCTATTCAACAGAAAGTTAATGTTTTTTATAAGTAAAACAACTAAACTGTACCAGGTCAATGGTGTCAAAACGATCCACATAGCTAATATACCCACACGAAATCTAGGGTGTTTTAAACACTAGTCTCATATTTTATGCGTTCATTTATGCATTCTTATGCTGTACTTAGGATGTGGTCAATGGCCTTGCCACAAAAGAGTGACAAAAGCATTTGAAGTTATCGTCGTTGCATATTATGCAAATTATTAATTTTTCATGGAATTTTCAGGTCAATTACAGTTTTCCCTACCACTCTTGTACGCACTTGGAACGCGACCCCAACCTTTTATGAGTCCACGGCTATTTTCACCTCTTAGAGCTGGACTGGACGGCAGGGCATACATTTTTATGGCTCAAATGAGTGGCTTTAATTGGTTGAAAATGTGCGCGTAATTATGGTATATAATTATTTGGTGAGCCCAGGTATTTTGTGGGTGCCGGTTAAATTCGGTCATAATTTTATTGCCATTGAAATGCTTTCGAGGCGTTTAATGAGAACAGCACAATTCAGATATCAGCTAGTCGTATTTTTACTCCTGCCTCTCCTGCCTGCATTAATTTTTTGGTTAACTGCAAAAATTCCGGGAAACAAAATGTGTAGAATGCAATTAAACAAAATAGCGTGAGATACGCGTCCGATATGCGGCTCGGAAGCAGAACATTGTCGTCGCTCTCATGCCTGAAACTGAAACCTAATTTCCAAGTTTAGAATTCTGCGAAAACCGTTGCGAGAGGTGCACGGAGCAAACGGTGTATTCGAGGCTCTTCCCTCTGACTCCATCTGCGGCTCCATCTCCGGCGCAGCCCAAGAGCCAGAGTTTACGTTTTTGAATACTCAATTAAATTTGTGTGCCCACTGGCTGGATTGTTGTTGTTGTTGTTGCTGTTGTTGATGTTGCTACAGTTTCGCACTATTTTCAATTGAATTAAATGCAGTGGCAGTTGCAGTTTGCTGCTTGCATTTTCATGCGAACAATTTCAAGGAATCGCGCATATCAAGCGCGTCGACGTCGCCGTTGCCGTCCTCTTCGTCGTCGTCGTGGTTGTCGTCTTCACTGCCGGCACGCTCCGTTTGGGCGCACAATTAATTTGCGCCCCAAAACGAACGCACGTATCTTTGAGATACATTAGCGAAAGTGTAGGCCGCCACCGTTAGCGTACGCAAATACAATTTAATTTGGCATACCCTATAAAGAATATCTCAATATCTCGCTAAGCTTGTGACGATAGCCCAAAAGTCAAGTCGAGCGATGTATTACAATATATATATACTTAAGCTTTTCATTTATAGGTGCATTCACTCTATTTGAGCATTCATTTGGCAGCAAAGGCGTATTCAATTGAATGCCCCGAGCGATCGTTTTGCCAGAGTATTTAGACTTCGGTTAGCTTTGTTCTGGTGGATTTTAATTCATGAGGCCACGCTGTGTGCGACAGGGACGCCAGCGAAATGCAAAATTTGTCTGAAGATTTTAATCGTCGGCATGCGCGCTCAAAACGGCCCCAACTACAGCAGCGGCAACAGCAGCAGCAGCAGAGGCAGCACCGACCAATGATTCCGAGATCCGTGCTGGGTTGTTCCCATTGAGTTTGGCCGGGAGAACGTTTTCTAGGTTGCGCCAGCCTGGTAGCTTTGGCAACGGTCGGTGGTGTAAAGCGGGGCATGGCTGGCTGGGCAGAGCAGAGCATGTAATGCTTGCTCGTTTCTCTAGTGCCATGGTTGTTGTTGTTGTTGTTGTTGTTGTTGTTGTTGCAGTTGTAGCTACAAGACAATTCACTTTTGTGCGAAATTAAGTGGCATCTGCAGCATGGCATTCCACTTGACTCCACCAGAGCCTGCTCCCTCTGGGCAGCAGCTCTTCTCTGCACCATCTGCATCTGCAGCTATTTGTGTGTGTATGCACTTGGCCCAGGTCTTTGTCTGCGTGTGTGTGTGTGTGTGTGTGTGTGTGCATTTCTCGCTCTTGTGGGCAATAACTAATTACATTCGCAATTATTTCATGTTTTGGCCAATTTAGTAGGACAAATTTATCTGCTCGGTGTCATCTACTTAGAATTGATGGCTTGCCATGTGAAGCTAGCAGATATTGTTTTTGTGCCTGCTGCTGTTGCTGCTGCTCTTGCCATTAGGCGCCCTGGCCACTGAATGACGTTGATTGTTCTATGCCAAATAGAAAAATTTATCTATCTGTCTGCCAGTTGCTGTTTCGTTTCTAATGCAACGCTGTATAAAATGCAATTATTAAGCAAATTAGCAAACATTTAGATATTTCGGCAAGATTGCCGCCCACCGAGGGCGCCATTGATGGCAATGGCTCATTCATAAATGAGTCCAAAAAGAACTAAGCCCAGCAGATTATTTCATTAAGTCTTATAGCTTCCGCAAGATTACCACTGCATGTGCTAAATGAATAAATAGCGCAGATTGCAGTCTATATGGATGTCTATCTTTTAAACCATAGCACAAGATAATATTTTATTCTTTTACAGTAAACAATGTTTGTTGACTCACAAAAAGATACATCTCCAGTTTTGACATCTTACGATATAATCAACTTATATATTGTATAAGGACACAAACCTTGTTAACAATTTTCATACTTATCGCTCCATCTCTTTCAGTTGATTTCTACTTTTGCCAATCCAAAATAGCATATAATTGTTTGCATAAAGATGATGTTTCCTACTAATTTTCTTCCTTCATCTTCTTTGCCCATATTGTAACTACACTCATATATACCACAGCATCCTTAATATTTATTGTCTATGTTTAAGAATATTTCTCCAGTCATTTTAATCGTCAAGCCCCTAACGATATTTGTATGTTGTGTACATATATGATTTAAAGCTATTGTCTGTGTACACTTATTGCTTTACACTTCCAATTATAACTCAAAATCCGCGCCAAGTAGAAACAATAAAATCCACAAACACAGAGATTTATGCCCACGCGCACAAATGCACTAGCTGCACACGAACCCACACTCATACACACACACACACACACACAAACACGCGCGCAGAGGAACACTCACATGCAGAGAATTCACCTTAATTCAAGTAGAAGCGGTTTAACTCCCCCGCCTTCATTATGAAATTGCTGTTCTTGTTATATTTTATTTTATACGAACTTAATTTCGCTCAACTCGACCACATGCACATATTTTACAGCACACACAACCACACACACACACACACACACACACATGAGGGCCGCTTGCAAAGCCACTCATACAAACGACTGGTAACCCTTTTAAAAAGTAACGGTAAACGCAACCATTTATTACATTTACCCACCACATGGGAGATGCGGAGAGTGGGTTTTGCATTGGAGAGAGCCAGAGAGAGTGAGATAGAGATTGTGGGCTCGCGCGAGTGCGAGTAAGAGCGCAGAGGGCAGGCTAAAAGGATATGACGTTTTGCTTTTCACTTGGCAAGTGAGTGGAAATTTGTTTCATTATAATTATTTTCCACAATTGGACATATTAGTATGGTTGCGTCGATGTCGACGCCGAAGTCAGCGTCAACGGCAACAGCGCAGTTGCCGTGCTGCCGCTATGCAGCGCGACGCCATTTTTGCAATTTAACTGTGCAAATAAACGCAGCCAAGTGAAAGAAATGCTTGCAGCCAGACAGGACAACGCGGGCGCCGAACGACAGAGAGCAAGCTATATGGAGAGCGCTGGGGAAAGCATTAAACGACAGTATTGCTATCCTTGTTGCTCGCCCTGGCAGCGGCGACACTGTGACATGAAAGTATGCGCATGCTCAACAAAACGGCGCCGTGGTGAGTTTTGGGCAACAGCCCCCCACTTGGGATGCCCTGCAACTCGCTTTTGGGGTGGTTTTTTATTGATTTCAGCCATTTACTTACCCCTAACGACTGGGCTTATGTATTATGTAGCCAGGTATATATGTAAATGGGAGCTACGTGCTGGGAATGACAAAACATAAAGTTATAATAATTTTTCTTTCCGCTTAATTGTGCCCCTGCGCATCAGACAGACAGCCTGTGTCAGGACATTTGGGCGCTGCTCCATCTCACTCTCTCCCCTCTGTCTCTCACTCTCTTACTCTGGCCCACTCTCTCCCCCACACACAGTGACCTGGCCGTTTCCACTTTTAATTTGATGCTTTTATGTACCAAGTTAAGATCTGTCCCGCAGCTGCTCCCGCTTTTATGTTAGCTCTTCCTTCTGCTGCCAGCTTCCAGCTTATATATAGCTGTATATAGCCGCTATATAGTCTCAGACTGAGTCTGGCTGAGAGCAGCCGGAGCATTGTCCATGTGCGTGCGCGCCAGCCTTTGGCATGGCGAGAGCGTAGGAAATACAGCAATTAGAGCCATATTAACCGTAATTAAATTTAATTGTTTAATTAAGCGCGAAAAGTGAGGAAGGCATTTTGTGATTTTGCAATGGCGTCACTCGTTACCCACTCCACTTCTTCCATGTACATATATCTCCCTATATACATTCATACATATGTATGTCTGTATGTTTGTATGTACCAAATGTGGGTGGCTCTGTGCGTGTGCTGAGCTTTGCGTGTTTTAGCCGTCGACTGTCTCTGACCCTGGCGTTGCCGGTTGGTGTTGATGTAACAAATAGCCAT